ATGCAAGAGTTGTCTTCGCAGTAAGAAGCTGTTGGACAAGGAACTCGTTGTAACAAGTGACTCCTTTCGAGAACATCAAAGAATACGTCAAGAGGCATTTGGGTTGCTCAAGTTGTTATATAGATTGATATTTATAGTTTAGGTTGGTCAATTGCTGATCGATCAATTAGTTATAGAGTTTGGTATGTTGAGTTTATCATGGGTTTTGTCCAGTAGTACATCAGATCAATGGATTAGTTGTCAATGCACTCTTTATCGTTGGTCTTTTCTTCCAATATCAGTAGAAAAGGTTCTTCAAAAATTTCAAACTATATTAGTTGGAGTTCAATGGATACGCCAACCCATTGTCAAAATATGTACTTTGTACATTTTGATTTCTAGATATGAATACCCTAAATGGTTGGTTGTAAAATTGTTGTTCATAGTAGGCTCCATTCTGACAGATGTCCTTGGTTTTTAGAAGTTTGAATGATGGGAAAACATTGCTTAGTTTTTCAGGTGTGGCTTTGGATCTAAGCAGAATCCAATTTTGGAATGTCGCATTGGCAGGATTGGTATCTGAATTGACCCGACTAGGGTTTTGCCAGCATTTCTGTTAGCTTTTGAAGTTTTATTGAGCTAATTGTGTATTGGTAGGACCTTCAGCTTCAATCAAGGTATTGTACCTTATTTTTGGCCACTCATGAGGATGTTTCTGCTAGTGGGTAAGGTTATAAGCAAGAATGAGTGCATTAGAGCTAGGGTTGGTTATGTGTTTCCATTGAGGATGTATGTAGGTTAAATAAGATAGAATGAGAACACTTGGCTAGAGTTATTGGCATGGTCCTTAAGTGGTTTGTAGCCCCTAAAGTGGAACAAGATCGCAACCACCTATTTCATTCTTTGGTTGTATGCAACCATGCTTTTTTCCTGATCTTGCATTGGTAGCCGACTGCACTGTGAAAATATTTGTACATGATAGAAGGGTATGGAATGCATTGTGTTTGGTTAGCATTGATGGGGGTGTTGTTTGGGTTCCTGCAAGAAGATGGATTGATGGTTGATTATCTTTAGTCCTTGTAGTGTTGGTCATGAGTCATTAGGCCAGTCATGGAATTACGACAAGTTCGGCGTAGTACCGTGAGCTCATCATTTAGTGGCTTAATGTGTCATGATGTATCGTGAGCCGGTAGCTGTATGATTCATATGGATGGAGCCCGATAGTCTTTTGATTGAGACTCTTTGGTCTCGGATCGTGAGTTTTATTGGCATGTTTGGATGTTAGTGTATTATGGGAGTCGAGAGACTCAGTGACCAGCTGATTAGGATCATGTCAACATTTTAAGGCCGTTGGGAGTAATTTGTACATTAGAAGTCTCTTGCATAGTGTTTGGATTATGAACCCTATTTACTTACATCAGGAGTTTGGTTACCAATATTGGGTATCGGTTATGGAATATCGAGTCATGAAGTTCGTTGTAAATGTCTTGAGTGATTTGTTAGGTGGATGTACACTTGAGCTGACAAGGGATTTGGATACAATGTGAAATTCTTGGATAGACCATCATTATGCTCGTGAGGGCAGTGGGTTGGTGATGACTTGTCAGGAAGTCAAGTCTGTAAGGTTTTTGGGCACAATTTTTGGATTTGGGATGGGTCCAAATTCACGATCAGTATGTTTTGAGTAGTATTTTTGCGTGTTTTAGTGATATTCCTAGTTTGGGACTAGCGGTAGGTTCAACGAACGGATTATCATCATGCTTAGAGTGTGGCCTCTGAAGTTTAGAACGGATGGGTTCCTAGTTCTGGGAAGTATACCGATGGAGTTGGTGGTGGTTGTAGTTTGAGAGTTCTCGGTTGTGTGCTTCTCACTGGAAGTTGGGTCATGAAGTTAGTGAGAGAAAGATAGTCGTTGCAATTGAGTATTTTCAAGCTTAGGGTTGTTTGTTCGCAGCTTTGGGTTTCCGAGTGGTCTCTTAAGTTCTCTTTATAATTATCGAAGTAGTTAAGAGAGTTTGTGGAATATGTTGATGTTCTTCATGTGCCAGTACAACGATTATTTAGATGGACTCGTGTTGGGATTCATATTTGTTTCAAGTGGAGGGTTATGTATGGTTCGGATTGCAAAGTGAAGTCATATCGACTAAGTTCTATGTTGCTTTTACCTTATTGGGAGTCCGATAAGGTATTGGACTTTTGGATTTCAAATAGAGTAGTGATGACTTTTCTCTATTGGTTACATTAGTGGGTCAAGGATTCTTTATCCAAATTTGTCTGCAGGAGCGGACTTCGAGGACAAAGTCTGATTCAAGTGGGGGAGAATTGTAACACCCTAGTTCAAGTAATTTCAACTTTGACCCTTAGTATGAGAATTGTTTGCAAAATTGGTCCCTTGGCACTTAAATGAAAAAAAACAGAGTTCTGTGCGTACGTTGGGTGTACCCAAGCGTATGCTAGGCATACGTATTTTGTGTCCAAACTCTAATTTTTTGGGGTTTGAGCCCTATTTAAACATCCTTAGCTCAAGACCTATTCCCTCATTATCCTCCATCTCCCAAATTGTCCCTAGCAAACCTTAATCTCCATTTATGGTGTTTTGATCTCATTTTGGTGTTTGGTGTCCACTTTTGAAGGAAGGAAACCATTGGAAAGCAAGGAAGGAGCTCCAAGCTTTGTAGATCTGAGTTTTACACTTCTTGACCAACCCCAGGAGGTATAAAGTTCTGAACTTGATAATTATCTCTCTATATCTTATTACTGTTAGAAGTTATGTTATTTTAGTCCCATATTCTTTGGTCAGTGTGTGTATGGACTAACCAAGACCAAATGAGTAGTCCTTTTGGATACTTTAGACTGATTAGAGTCATAAAAATGGGATCTTAACCCTTCACTTTCCTCCATGCATGTATTATGTGGCTTATAATATTGTGAGATATTAGGGTTTAATATTTGGACACTTTATAACCATGCAAAGTCACAAAGTTGGATACTTTATGACTTGGAGTGTTATTTGGGATTAGAATTGAGTATTAGATTAAAGGAATTTAGGGGTTAGGCACTTGACATGAAAGATTGGAATCTGGCCGAGTACGTTAGGCGTACTTTTGATTACGCAACACGTACTCCTTTGAGGCCCTATTTTTGGATAAATGAGTACGTCCTGCGTACATGCTGAGTACACAGCGTATGCTCAGTCTAGGGTTATCTTTTTGACTTTTGACCAAGTTTAACCTAGGGATATTTTAAGTATTTTGGGTTGTAGTATGAGATTCGGTCACTATTTAACGAATAGGTGACCTGTAGAGTTAGTATTTAGAGCAATGTGTTTTTCAGCTATTTTATCAGACTGTAAGGTGGGTTTTCCTCACTGTACTTGTGGATCGAAGGCACCAACACCGACCCAGTAAATTATGTATTCTGGTTTAGAATGTTGTTATCCTGTAGTGATTTATTAAGATCTGCATGATTATCTGTTTGTTGTTATGTGTTTTATCTTTTATACATGTCGACATACTGTGGCTGGGTTGAGACTGTACTGCTTTGTGCTACCAGTCAACAAACCCGAACAAGGTAACCGCGAGGTTGTAGGCCAGGGTAATCCAACCGGGAAGTTATAGACATAGTATGCAATATGTGTGGTAATCTAACCAGGAGGTTGTGGGCCATGACAATCTAATCGAGAGGTTGTGGGCCAGGGGCAATTCAACTCGGATGTTGTGGACCCAATATGTATATTTGTTTGGTTATGTGTGGTACTTTAAGAAAAGTCACTAAACTTTGGCTTATGGTTTAAGTTTTTTGTTCCATGTACTTTAGATGATGGGGGCGAGGCGAAGACTTGATTGTGCACATCCTTCAGTTTTTATGAGATTTGATTTTGGAATACTCTGATATGTGATCTTTATACTTTGAAAGCATGTTTTATAAACATTTATGGTTTTGGGTTGTTCTTGAAAAACAAAAATCTTTACTAAATTTTTAAGATGTTACAATGGTTATTCTAAGAAAGGTGAATGCCTTGAAACACTTATTTTTCACATGCCTCTTTTAGAGCTATGTTTAATCATTCCATAACAATAATGAAGAGGAACGGGGACAAAGGTTCCCCATGTCGATGTTTAATCCTTCCATAGCAACAATTAAGAAGAACGATGACATATATGTACCATGTGGATGCGGATATGGTACCAAGTATTTTCTTTGTTGATTGCTTTCTTGCTATATTTTATTTGATTACAAAGCAACCTATCAATTTCATATCTCAAGAACATAATCAAGACACTAAAACACAAATTTACTCACTTAAAACAACTTTCTTAGTTGAAGTTTTTATGATAATAATGTAACCATTTGGGATTTCATTAAAACAAGTTAATCAAATTCAAACAAATGATTAACAATTTTGGTAAAAATATGTGAAATAATCTTTTGAAAAACGGTAATAAAAACACTATAAAACTGAACATAATATTTATTATAGTTCGATTGATGTGACATGCATCAATGGATAGACAATAGAGAATTTTATTAAATTTCCAAAAAAATTACAATAACCCACAAAAACTAAGCTTTACTTACATTTCAACCAAACAAAAAAATAATCTTTCTCGCTCACATAATGTTCCAAAATGATATGCTCTTAACCTTACAAAATAGTTGTTCACTTGAAATCTAGGTGCACAGGGACGGTTCCACTATGGTGTCCATAGTGGCACTGGCAACTCCTATTTTTTTTGAGATACAGTAGAAAAAAATTTGAATTTTTCGTTTTTTTTTACATTTGTGCGACTACATAAAAGGAAAAATATGTCAGCAGCAACAACTACGTGCCACCGGCAACACCTACATTAGGTTTCATAACATTAACACCTATATTAGGTTTCATAACATTAATATATTTTGATAAAAGCTATACATAACACTCCAACATAGATGGAACAACCAAACACCAAACAATATTATATTATTATTCATTCTATTATATTAACAGACATTTGTCATTCACTAATTACATGATTAGGTTACTTATCGATGTGATTGATGAAAGTACAAATTCTCTTGCGCAATGTACAAGAACTATCTGGAGAATGGCTAAATAGGAAAAACACATGGTCTTCCCCTTTATCCTCAATAACCTCAATACTTCCATTCCACCCACTTTTACCCAAAATATCGTTATAATACAATCCTCTATCCTTCAATATATCATTCTCAGCAACACAAACCAGTACCCTGGAGCATCCAAGATCCGATACCTTCGGATCCTTATCCGGGTTAATAAGCGGATCATCCAACCCACTTGCTCCCGGGTAGGCAAAGATCCACATATCTTCAATTAACGCCTTCCATGGGTGTTCTTCTTCAGACCCGATTCGATCTTCTCCCCAAAAATACGGGTGGAGCAGGATAGTGCCCCGTAGGTTCATGCTCAATCTCGGATTTTCTGACCCGACCCGGATAGCCATGTGGTGGGCAATATTAGCACCGGCGCTGTCACCGGCGAAGAATACATTTTCAAGATCGGCGAAGTCATTTACCCAAGTGTCCGGGCAGTTTCCGGCGACCCATTTGATTGATTCCCAGGAATCTTCAAAGCAGATGGGGACGGGATGCTCCGGCGCCGTTCGGTAGTCAACGGAAACTATGACGACGTTGGACTCCGCAGCGATGAGGTTTAAGAAGTTATGGTAGAAGGGGGATGCCGCGGTTTGGGTGATGAATCCACCGCCATGGAAGTATATCAGAAGGGGGAGTTTTTTGGTGGGGGTTTTGGGAAGGTATAGCCTGGCGGAGAGGTTAGTTTCAGGTGAGATGATGACGTCTTTGGATTGGACGCCGGAGGATGGATCAACGCCGGCGGGAACGGTGTAGGTGCCGGAGAGTTTCTGGAATCGGCCATCTTTGTATACTTGAATGACTCTCGGAATTTCTTTAACGATCTGATTCGGTGATGAATCCATCTGCCGGAAAATTTTGAGAGAGTAGAAGTAATGTAAATGGAAGCTTGCTTTAACCATAATCATAGTATAAATAATCGGTAATTGTAATTGTAAATATATAATAATATTAACATATGTTATAAAAAAATATAAAAAGTGTAGTAGTTGAATAAAACATATTTTAGTAATTAATATACTAGTTGTGAAACTCGTATATTACACAGGTTAATTAAAACATAATGTTAAATATGAGCGATTAAATGATAAGTTTATTTGAATTTGAAATATGAAATAAGTGAAAATTATAAAATAAAAAAAAAACATGCAAAAAATAAATTAATTAAAATTATGTGTTTAATTATTAGACTCGTGTAGTAAACCAGTTATTATAATAAAATGTTAAATACAAAGGTTTAAAGTGTAAATTTATTTGAAATAGAAATAAAAATTTCAAAATTGAAATTAATGGTTATTATAGTAGGTTTAATTTATGGAAACTAAATTAATGATATAGTGGAAATGAATAATGAAGTAATTGATAAGTGGAAAATAAATATATATTTCAAAATTATAGTAAAATAATAAGTGGTCAATTAAATGAGAGAATGACAAGTGGCAATAACATTTTCATTTATTAAGGTAGATAAAGATGATGGTAATATTTAAAATTTACCTTAATTCCAATAAAATAAAAACTTTTGTTTGGAAAGTCCAACTATTCAATATTTTTTAAAAATCATTTAACATAAATTTGTTTATCCAACTATTTTGTTTTTTCTTTTGAATTCTCTTTCTATTTATAGTTTTAGAGTCAAAGTTGCTTTTCTTTTTTCAAAGATATTTTTTTGACCGTCACTACAATGTCCCATTAATTGAATATGACAACCCACCTTTAAAGACAAAGCATTAAAAAAAAAAAAAAGGCAATAGATTCCAATGCTACATGCGAATAATCAGTTGAAAATAAATGATCCGTCTCTAATTCATTAAACCTTATTTGCTAAAGTAAAGTTTTAATATTGTTAATAAAATCTTGAACTTTTTGTGGGTGATTTGTTATTCCACATTAAGCCAACACATTGCTATATGCTACATCAACTAAATTCGTTTGTACTCGATATCAAATAAACAATTGAGCTATTTTAAGTAAGACAGTGGATTACGTAGTTTGTTTGTTAACCAAAGGGTCACCAACAGTTGTTATATGTTATACCTAGTCTTTTAAAATTTTCTCTTTGTCTCTTTAGTCCTCTATTCATCATGACTTGTGTGCCACTTTCTACCGTTACTTCCATTAAATTATTTGACATTTGTCTTTTTATATTATGAGCCTACTATAAGTTTTTTTTTTTCCTTTTTCGTCACCCAGTAGTGTTATCGTTACAAGACAAGTTTCCAATTTCGATGTTACACAAATTGCTTGATGACCTAGTTGGTTTGACCAATTGAGTTTGACAAAGTTTGACCTTAAGGGTATTTTGGGATATTTATGGAAATTGGTCATTGGTGAGAATAGGTGTCGGTCAGAGAGTTAAGATTCACGGTTGGGAGATCATCAACTTCGGTTTAGTTTGTGAGATGAGTTTTCATCACTGTACTTGCGGGTCAAAGACACCAAGGTTGACTCTTTGGATTCGATATCCTATTATGCATGCTATTGTAATATAGTGATATGTTAGATTGATATCTTGATATATATAGGAAGATGCTATGCTTAGTAATCTATAGATTTATCTAAATGTATGTAGACTGTTATATGATTATTTGTTACATGTGCACATGTTTGGTTGATGGTTGAGGCTTTACTGCTTTGTGCATGAGCCAACAGACCGGGTGCATTCCAACCTGATGGTTGAGTGGGCCCGAGAGTATTCCATCCGGAGGATGACAGGACCCGTTGTTTATTGGCATTCCAACTCGATGGTTGATGGGCCTGGGGTATTCCAACCCGATGGTTGACTGAACCCATAGTGTATTGACATTCCAACCTAATGGTTGAGGGGTATGGGGTATTCTAACCCAATGGTTGATTGGACCCAATATGTTGTTATCGTTTATGTTATTTGTTTGTGTGTTGATACTTTGGGGGATCTTACTAAACGTTAGCTTACAATTGTGGGTTATGTTTCAGTTACTTCAGGTGACCGTACACATCCTTATGTTTTAACTTATGATTTTGGGAGATTCTGATGTTGAAAATGTTTTGAAAACTATGTTTGTAAATGATTTGGGTTGGTTTTAAAAAGTTTAAATTTCTTATAAATTTTATGGGTGTTAAATGGCGACGACAGTGGGAAGTGGCAGGTAGACAATGTTGGTTGTGCATGTGCTTTTTTTTGTAAAGTAGAAGTAAAGGATGCAAGTTTCATTTAATAAATTAATAACTAATAAATATAATAAATTTAAGATTAATATAGAGAAAATTACCATATTAGTCTACCACATAGTTTTTTTTTTTTTTTTTTTTTTTCAAAAAATAGCCAAAAATCAGAAAAAAATAATCATAATAGCTACAATTTTATAGACCATCTGCAAAAATCTTGGTGGTCTGTGAGTTTTTTCTTTTTAGATTTTTGCAGGTCGCCATTTCTAAAAATCAGGTAGCATGTGTTTTTTTTTAAATATTTTTTGCAGGTCAACACCTACGAAATCTAGGTGGCCTACAAATTTTTTTGTTGAGATTTTTCCAGGTCATCTTCTGATTGGGAGAACCCAAACGCTTTGATGATTGTTATGGAGTTCATATGTAAAAATTATGAATTTTTTTTTCATGATTTTCACCGAATAGCCGACTTTGGATCTTAAAAAATATGACTTCACGACATCTAAATTGAGAGTGTAATATCTCCATGGATAACCTTTGTTACAAACAATACAATGGAAAAACTTTCAGCTTAAACGAAGTTCATATGAAAAAAATTTATGAAGGATTAAAATTGAGTTTTTTTTCCAATGTCTTTCATAAAGTATTTTATTTTTGAACTAAAAAGGTATGATTTCCCTAGTGTAACATTTTCATGGAAAGCTTTTGTTAAAAAGAATACAATTAAAAAATTCAACTCAAAAGGAATTCGTATGAAAAAATTAAGAAGGTTTAAAGTTTGCAAACAAAAAAAAATTAAGGCAGTGTGCTTTTAAGAATCATGGCTATTTTTGGCATTTTCGAAAATTTAGGCTATTTTTTGGAAAAACTTTAGAGAGATTAGCTATTATGGCTATTTTTTCTAATATAAAATATAATTATAAAAAGCAACATTAAATCTATCTTAGTGCCACTTGGGCAAGTCCTAGTGACATGCTATGGATGCATTTCCAACGCTTAACCTATTAAAAAATTATTATTTTTGCCATATCATTTTCAACTCAATTTTATTGGATAAAAAACTTTTATCAAATAACTTTGCTAATGGTTAACTTTTTCAAAAGTTTTTTTTTTTCTAAAATTAATGAATTTATCATTTATCTATCTTAACACCATCTTTGTATTAACACAATCCGTTTCATTTAGGTTTTATCTCATCATATAAATTTGATGATACCTAAGTTGTTCGTTAAATGTATTAAAATTAAAATTAAATGTATTAAAATTAAAATATAATAAATATATTACAAAATAGAATATAATACTTCCGTCCAATATTGTTCACTTTTGATTTTTGTAGTCTTTATTTTTCAACTTTGATCTTAAAATATTTTTATTTTTGATATTTAATATTTGATGCAAAATATATGAATGAGTTGTGTTTTAAATATCTTTTATTGTTATAAGTTTTATCAAGTAATACATAACACAAATAAAAATATTTAAGGTCAAAGTGAAAAAAAATAGACTTCAAAAATAAAAAATGAACAATAAATATGGAATGATGGTTTTTCTAATCTTTGTATTAACCCCATCCACTCCCACTTTCCGTTTAGGTTGATCCTCTAGAAATGCCCATGCATGCTTATATCTAAATGGTTTCTTGTATCTCTAATAAAACAATTTTCTTGCAACATCCTTTACTCTCTCGTCAAATCAACCACGATGGTATTGCTTTTGTACGTTAATGATTATCTGATTGAATTTATTAATAGAGGGGATTATCTGGTATTGATGCCCCTTCACTTGTGTTTGTGTTCTTGCCCACTCGGATATGTACCATTAGCATTTAGCAAGGTAATAACATTTTGTGTAATATGTTACATTGATAGTAATTAAACTTTAATAGCATATCCGTATGAGAAATCATTGAATAATGTACTTTGGTTTTATATGTTGGTGTCATTGTTTTAACCAACAACATCAAAAAATGCATGTTAAATCCAAAGGTTGAGTAGCAACAACTTCTAACATAATTCTTGGTACATCATAACCACTTGAAGTGAATTACCATTGCCATATGACATGACAATTTTTCAATATCCAATGCATACGATCAATAAATCCTTAACGTACATAGAAACTCATAGTGTTCTTCATGTAAGTGACGTATACACCTAATGTTTGCAATGTTTGGTCTTCTTAAATACATAGTGCCAAATATTTCAATCACACCATGATAAATTTTCTTTAGATATTCAGTAGTAGTAATTTCACCTATTCTTATACATTAATCATTCTAGTAAGCTAGTGTTCCACATGCTAACTATCGAATAGCAATATTTATGTAAAGTCGAAAGACCTTTACTCCCGATTGCATCCTCCGGTATATGAAATAGTCTGAATGATTGGATAATGAGTCGAAAATTCTGATTAATACTTTTTTTTATTCATCCAAAACCTCCGCCTAAAGATGTTCGATGGGAAATTGATTGATTTGAAAAGTAACCCATAACAAGAAGACAATGGCCCTCATCACAACGTTGACAATTGTTTTTTTTGTGGTTGCTAGATAAAATTTCTTGCTTCATTTTGAGATTCTTTCTCAGCGACCATCTACAATAACTTTTCATGAGACCAAATCAACAAAAAAATAGGGATAAAGTCCTTGATTTTGATTGAGTCCAAGGGTGTAGAAGGGAAACAAACATACTCGAGA